TGCCCTCTGAGGAATGGGGACGAGTGTCGGCGTCTTACTTCATGTTTCTCTGCATGATGAACTCGGGAGTCACGCGGGCGGTGCGGAGCCGTGCTCTTTTCTGTGTATATCTGTTCTCAGCATTTGCCCATTATTCTTGGGGTTTGGGCTTGTACTTTGCTAGGGAGAAGTCTGGATCATGAATAAATGAGGGCTGTGCGGTAGTGACTACTTTGCTCAATGTCTCGAGTCTTTGCCTCCCGTTTCGTAGAGACTTGTACCAGTTGTTATAGTACATGTTGCTCTTGTTATTTTGCAGGAAGACTAGTTCGGGACACCTTCCTTCTGTGACATGTTAATGAAAATGCCTCTTGGTTTCTCATAGCTTTTCTTATGCCATTAATTCTGACAGCCAAATCTATGGCAGCCTCCTCAACCAACACAGTTGCTCTTTTCGACAGTCCACTTGGTCCTTAGCGCCTAAGCCATCACCTGCCCTCCTGTGATGATGACAAGAGGTGTGCCGGCTGAAACCGGGGCACTGAGCCTCAGGTGTCAGATGGGGAGGTGCAGGAGTTGCCTCCCGGGGCCAGGCTGCACCCTTGCGTTTTGGGCAGTGGTGTTGTTGCAGGCAGCCTGAGTTAGATAGAAATATTGTAGGTAGTTAGACAGGGACAGGCCCTCGAAGGGGGTGACAAAAACCAGACAGCTTACTGGGGAGATGCTTCTGGTGTGAGCCAGACCTAAAGATCAAACAAACGCTGACCTCCCTAAAGTTGGCATCCAGGATTGCTCATTAGTCAGGAAGAATCACTGATTGAAGGCCACCAGATAAGGTCGCCCGCTTGCTACGTGACTCGCTACCCCTTTTGGTCCTAGGCCTAATAAATTTTACCTGGGCAATGGTGCTTGTAATCCCATTGGTTGACCATAGTTTTGTCCCACCCTGTATCTGCCTAAGCGGCACCCCTTTGTCTCTACCTTAGCCCCGCATGGTTTTGTTCTATAAAATAACCAGAAGCAGACAGCTTCCTGGGCAACCCACTCGGGACCCCCTTCTGTCCCTCTCCGACAGAAGCTTTCCTTTCCAATAAAGTTTTACCTTCAGCCTCCGTTTGTTCCTAAAATTCATTCTTCGGTTTTAGAGAACACAAGCTCATTCAGGCCAGGTTGGGATTTTCACGTCCCTACATCGGTGTGGTCACTGCCCCCAGGAATGCACGGAAGGAGAACTGCGGGGTGTGCCTGAGCTCCCATCCTCCTTTTTTTGGAGAGGATCTCTTGCCCAGGCAACTCAGCATGCAAATACATGAAAGCCAGAAGATAGGTGCTCTGGGAAACAGTCTGCCACTGTCATGGGAAAGCCTGATTGGTTGCCTAGAGCCAGTCTGGCCTTTGCCTATCTCAGGGTGTCACTGCTGACTGATGGCCTAAACCCAGACCTTTAGCATAGGTGTTGCCATGGTAAACTTTAGCTGACCTCAGAGTTGTCAAAACAGGCCTACCATATAGAAGAAATATACACTGAGAAAGCTGTTAACCCTAAAAACTTCAGCTGACCCCAGAGTTGTAAACACAAGCCTATCATATGGAGGAAATATACCCTGAGAAACTGCTGACCCTAAACAGTGACAGGAAAAAAGCCAGATGTATAGCAAGAAAAAAAAATCTGCTTGACAGGCAGGCTGGGTGCTAAGCTAACTGCTTGACAAGCGAGATCTACTGCGCATTCCCTCTATATACACGCATGTCTTCTGGTCACTTAGACTCGGACGCGGGTCTATGCTGACAGTCGCTGAGCTCAGCTAATAAAAATCTTCAAACTTTAACTGGCTACTTGGATTCCTATATTGATTGTGAGCCCACAACACTGACCTTACTCAAATGCTGAGCTGGCTAGTCACACGATGCACACTGGTACTGGCTGGATGTGCTATGGCCTTGGAAGCCTCTCCTTTTTCTGTTTGTGAGGCACCTGGACTTTCTTTCTGGGCTTTATCCGCACTAAACTTTCAGGGATACTAGTGATCTCTTGGCTCATGGTTGGGTCTCCTTACTACGGTCCTCCCCCCAAACACATGAATGGAACAGTGTGTGGAAGTGGGGTCCAGGGAGCTGATGGGACATGGGGGTCACCTTTCCTTGCAGGCCTCCATGGAATGCTCAGGGAGGGGTCTGTTCAGATCCAGGCCTTCTGGGAGGGTCACAGTGCTTGGTCACAGCATTGAGGAGTGGCCCAAGCACAAGCCAGTGAACCATGAGCCTGGGCCAGTGTCCAGGTCCCTAGCTTTCAGCTCAGCCATGACAGATGCACAGGGAAGCCAGACTGCCGTTTTCTCATCAGTCTGCATTTCCGGTGCCTCACCTGCCCAGAAGTGCGGCACCTCACAACCTTGGGACAACACTGGCATTCGTATCGACTGTGGCCAGCTGCAGCTCCACCCAATACAAGCTCCTCCTCCCTTCTCGTCATTATTTTGTTCCAAACCTCACGTTCACTTCAGCCAGAGGTATTCTACAAATTCCACTTCTATGACACCAAATGCTTGAACTTACTCTCAGGCTCACCCAGGGGCAACCCCAAGAAAGATGATGCCAACACAAGACACATCATCTCCATCGGGGAGATGGCTCAGTAGAATAAGCACTCACCTGGCAAGCACAAGGCTCTGAGTTCAATCCCCGGTTCCACAAAAAAAAAAAAAAAAAGACAGACATGAACCTTTTGTCCAAGGAACTTCCCTTCTGAGATGGGTCCCGCTGGCACATATTCCCTGTAGCACACATGAAGTCAGAGATGCTACAGCTGGGCTCTGAATCCAGGGTCCAGTGCAAGAGAGCACATGAACACAGGACACTGACACAGGCCACCTTGGACTTCATAAACATGAAGCCGGGTGCAAAGGTGCACATCTGTAATCCCAGCAAAGGTGCACATCTGTAATCCCAGCTACTTGGAAGGTAGAGGCAGAAGGACCAAAAGTTAGAGGCTGACCCCAGTGAGTCAGCAAAATTCCAATTCAAAATGAAAAATAATGGCCAGGCTTTGTAACACAAGCCCGTCATCTCAGCACTTGGAGGCTGAGGCCAGAGGACCATTGTGAGTTCGAGGCCAGGCTGCACTACAAAGTGAGCTCAAGGCCAGCCTGAGCTGCACAGTAAGACCTTTTTCCAAAAACAAATAAACACGCACAGACAAATGGGTGCAGCCCAGTGTAGAGCATCCCTGGGTTTTGTTCCAGTACTGGAGCTGGGGGGTGGGCATTCTATGCAGTTAGAACCAGTGATTGAAAGTGATTCTGAGGGCCGGCAAGATAGCTCAGCGGTCTAAAGTGCATGCTTAGGCAAGCTCAGGGACCACAGTTCAATGCCCTGCACCCCAGGGCAGGCTGAGCCAGCCACAAAAAAAAAAAGTGATTCTGTAACCTCCTGAGGCTACCACAAAAAGAAGAAAGAAAGAAAGAAAGAAAGAAAGAAAGAAAGAAAGAAAGAAAGAAAGAAAGAAAGAAAGAAAGAGAAACAGGTTTATATTTAGGCCATGTGGTCGCAGCCTCCATGGCAGCCTCCCAAAGGAGGTCTGGACCCTGCCGGGTGGAGGCCCCCCGGCTGGGGAAGCTGAGGCACAGCACTGTTCTGTTTCCTACAAGCTGCTTGGAACCCTAAGGGTGGGAGGGAGGCAGAGAGCTGCGATGCGGGGCCAGTTCAGGTCAAGCACTCAGCTCCATCAGGCCGCTACCCAGACACAGACTGCCTGACCAATAGTGGGACAAGCAGGGGCCCGCACACACTGGGCCCCAGGGCAGAGCAAGCTCCCACTGGTTCTGATCTGCCCGTCCCCAGGTCACGGAGCCACTGCTGCCTCCGGCAGAGGGGGCAGCTTGGATCACCACACCCTCAGGCCTCTCCTTGGGAAGGGTTCGGGGCCACTTGGCCCTGCTCTGGGAGCTCTGGCACACAGCCTTGCACGCTCCACGCTGACTGCAGACTTACTGCAGCGAGTTCCTGTGAGGGCAGTGAGCGACCAGAAACCCTACTGCTGGCCCAGGCCTGAGCAGGCCTCAACCCTCGGCCCCACCCCAGATGCTGAGGCCTCTCCACATCCCAGGCTCTACCGGCCCTGCAGGGCACAGGACATGAAGGGCTGGGCAAGGTGCAACCCAGACAGGGACTGCGACCCTCCTACCAATGCCCCATCCCACAGCCTCCCGTCAGTCTAGGGCTGGCGCAGTGCCCCAAGGCGGAGACTGAAGTCATCTTCCTCATGACTCCCACCCAGATTATTATCTTTGGGGATGGACCAGGGAAGGTCCCCTGCTGTAGGGACCGCCTGGGCTCCAGGAAAGCAAAGCAGGCAGATCAGCCTCCTGCCGCCCCACCCCCATGTCCACAGCCCAGCAGGGTTGCATCCTCCTAGGGGCTGGGGCAGGGATGACAGGAAGGAGTGGCAGCCAAGGCAACTGTGACCATTTAATCATGGTGATAGGGTGGGGACAGGTGGCTGCCCCTGGGCTGGGCTCGGCAGCCCACCTTCCTCAGGAGCCAGCCCTGCAGCCTTCACATGCTGACGAGGACCCGGTGGACAGCCCTGGACACCTGAGCATGAGGCCACACCTGCCCGCCGCATCTGCCCGCCCGCCCCCATCACCCCCCCATCACCCCACGGGGATCTAGCCTCTGGCCCTTCGGCAGCCTCTGTCCCTAATCTCCCAGGCCAGGGGGCTCCTTAGAGCGGGGGCTCTTCCTTCTGGGGGGTCCCCGTGGCGACTCGCTGGGAGTGGGGGCGGGTGGTGGCCTTTAAAGCCTCAGAGAGCCCTCGAGGCTGGAGCCGGGTGGTGGGAGTTTTGGCCGTGGAGCCTGGGGCGGGCACGGGGCTCGGAGAAGCCTCCACGATGAACCGGGCGCCTGGGGTGGACAGAGGCTGGCCTGGAGAGGCCGGAGGTAGAGACGGGGAGGGAGGTGTCGGAGGGGAGCCTGGGCTCCCTGGGGAAGGGCCCCCCGGCTTCCAGCGGGGCGAGGCCTGGGCTCCAGGCTGGCCTGTGGGCTGGGGGAGCAGGCGAGACACGTTGGCCCCTGAGAGCAGCTGGCGCAGCTGGAGCACGGACTGCAGCAGGGATGCAGGGGGCGGCCCGTGGCAGGAGCTGCAGGGGTCAGGGGCCTCCGCGGTTTCGTGGGGGCTGCGGGTGGCTCCTGGAGGGCTTGGCTCTGGCTTCACGCCAAGTGGGTGCGGGGAGCCTGGGGAGGACAGGGGGCAGACACTTGGTTTCTGCCCAGGGCCTCGGCAGCGCGGGGACAGGCAGGGGCGCGGGTGCACCTCCATTTCCTGTCTGCCTCAGACAGCAGGAAAGGCCCAGGCGATGCCAGCTCAGACCCAGGCAGTACCGATGTGGCAGAGATGGATGGTGTAGATTCCCCAACGGTGACAGTCGGGCCACCCACGTGTGGGAGGCTGAGGTACAGCTGCAGCAGTACAAGGAGCGGGGGCAACAGATAGGAGCTCTGTCCTGCAACTCTGTTTTGCTGTCAAACTAGAATATTCTCCAAAAAATCCGTAACAGCAGCCACTTGGGGCTCAGCAGTGGCTCAGCAGGAAAGGGCTCACCTAGCATGCCAGGCCCTGGCTCATCAAAGCCCCCCCACTAAAAAAATAGTGGTTTATTTTGTTCTGTTGTTCAGAGCCTCAGCCTGGAACCCAGCACACCCTCTGGGGAGAAAAGCAAACCAGAGAAAAAAGCACTGAGGCTGCAGGCACATCTGTGGGTGGCCTGGCCACAGGTATGACCAGATAAGACGAGGGACCAGGCCTGCATGCCTCCCAGGGACAGGCAGTGTCCCGGCATTGGTGTCACCTGGTCCCACAACGTCTGCACAGGCATGAGTCACTTGGTGGGGAACTAGGCCCTCCTGACCTGTCCTTTTCTGTAAAGGTCCTGGTTTTTTCCTGTGCCCTTGCTAAGCAACCTGCTACCCCACTGGATCAGCAGCTACACTTGTAATCCTATTGGTTGATCATAGTTTCGACCCAAGTCATAGCCACCTCTGATTTTGCTCTATAAAACCTTCTCAGAGAAGTGGGGCCTCTGGCAACCCACTTTTGGGTCCCCTCCTACTTCTCAGGAGTTGCTTCTCTCTCAGTAAATTTTGCCTACTCTTAATCTCTATGGTTCCTTAAAGTTCATTGTCCGGTTTTGAGGAACACGAGCTCCGCACATCTGACATCCAGCTGGATAGAATTACAATTTCCCTGTAGCAGAAGCAGCCAGGTCTGAGGTGGGCACAAGCCCGCGCCTCGGGAAAGCTAATGGTCTGAGACGGTTTGGGGATGCAGGAGCTGCTGTCTCCATCACTGGGGCCTCCTGCTTCAGGAGCCCTCCCGGGAGCACTGTGGGAGACACCACTGCTCCCACTGACACCCTCGGACTGACTGCTTACTTTCTGTCCACCATGCGGTCCCACCCCCCTGCCTAGTACTTGGGATTAAACGCTGGGCTTTTGCACTGAACTATAAGCCCAGTACTTTATTATTTACTTTTTTTTAATGTATTTTTTGGTACCAGGGATTGAACTGAGGACCTCATACTTGCCAGGCAGGTGCTTATGCCACTGAGCCATCTTCCCAGCCCTATTATTTTTTTATTTAGAGACAGGTCTTGCTAAGTTACCTAGGTTGAGCTTGAACATGCAGTCCTCCTGCCTCAGCCTCCCAGAGTGCTGGAATGGCAGTGTGCACTAGGGGCAGCAGGCCCCTGTGTGCTGTGGAAGCCACTCTCCCTCCGGGCCTGGGCCTCTCCCCAGCAGCCTTCTGCTAGCTTGACTGGGAGAGAAAAACCCAGGCGGGAAGCCGCAGGTAACAGCCCAGGCCACAGACTGCTTACCTGAGCAGGAGGCACAGCAGTCCCCAGCAGGGGCAGGCAGGGCAGAGTCTGTGCAGGCCAGCGGACAGGGGACCCTCTCACAGCTCACTTCTCCCAGCTGAGGAAGCAAGGACACTCTTGCTAGGAGCAAGGGCACAGGACAATACCAGCACGCCCATAGCCAGAGGGGTGCACCACGGCCGGCGGTGCGTGAGGCTCACCTGGCATGTGCAGCGCATGCAGGGCTCGTCATCCAGCATGAAAACCTGGCCATTGGTCACCTTCCTGCCCTCATAATTGCAATCTGGGGGGCACAGGACACGGCGTGAGGGCTTGGTCCCACTGGAGCCTGGGCAGGTGGCCGGCCCCACTCACCACGGCACACAGGGCAGCACTCGCCATCAGGGTGGAAGGGGTAGGTACAGGCGATGGGACAGTCCACCGGCGAGCAGGCCACCGAGCCCAGCTGTGGACACAGAGATACTGGCACCATGCTCAGGCAGCAGAGCCAGGGAGGTGTTGGGGCAGGAGTGGACTTTGCTCCTTGTCATCCTGCTAGGACACTGGCCTCCAAAGTGCAAAGGCCTGGCCACATCCACAAGCTCTGCTGTCAACAGGGGCCTGCTGACCAGATGTCCCAGGGACTGTGGGGAGTGGGTGAGTGCTCAGGACCAGGACCTGGGTCTGCCTTGAAGGGCGGAGCCAGAGCACAAGCAGAGTTGAGGGCCATGGAACCCACCACATAGCCGCCGCGCTTGTGAGTAAGGCACCAGGTCCCCCAGGCTGGGCCTGCAGTTCAGTCTCTTGAAGACCTGTCCCCTTCCCACCTTCCCACAGTGAGCCATGGTGAGAAAGGACAGAACTTTCCCCTCTGCCCCAGAGCCACTGCCCCCAGCCACCGCCCCGGGGCCCTGAAGAACCCTGTGGCTCAATCTCAGCACTGAGACCTCCTGGCTGAGACGTGTGGGCCAATGATGCTGCCCTCTAAAGAACAGGGTGCCAGTACCCCACCCATAGAAGGTCCAGGGCTTGGGAGAGGAGCTAGCACGCCCAGAAGGACCCCCAGGTCACACTCTTCCCAGCCCAGTTCCACTCTCTGGACTGTCCTGTTAACCCCGCATGTGGACACTGGCTAGGAACGGCCCGGGCAGCCAGAGGGACCATGGGGTCTGGGGAGCGGGGCTTCCGGAGGGGCAGGTGCATACCAGGCAGATGCAGCTGAGGCATGGGTCAAGGGCCGATGGGAAGGTCTCGTTGTTGTAGAAGACTCGGCCAGTATAGGTGCAGCCTGGGAGCAGTAGAGCAGAGGCCGGAGCTCAGCCGGGAGGCAAGTATCCAGCTGGGCTGCCCAGCCCTGGTCTCGGCTGGGACCACAGTGTCTGTGCTGCAGCACCTCAGGTGCAGTGGGCCGGGATGCACACCATCTCCTCCACCCACTCCCCGCACACTGGCCTTCTGGCTCCCGGCTCCTCAGGCTCGGCTAAGCTAAGGTGCTACTTTGGCCCCAGATTCCACCATGATGACAGGCAAGCAGAAAAGTGAATGATGTAGGAACAAAACTCATCCAAAAGATACCTAGTGAGCCTTGTGTGTGTGTCACAGAGACTAAAAGATGAGGCCACGGAGCTAACTATGACAGTGGGCCTCTTATTTACTTTGCTTTGCATATTTTCTCATTTCCTGCTACCATCTATGCATGTTGAGATAGTAGAAAAGATAAAAAACGATTATTAAGAACCACAGCCTCAGCTGAGGACAGTGGCACACACCTGTTATCCCAGCTAGTTGGGAGGCTCAAGTGGGAGGATGGAAGGTTCCAACCCAGACTGGGCAATGGAACGAAGCCCTATCTCAAAATGAAATTCTACCAAAGGCCGGGGCTGTAGCTCAGTCGAGGCGTGCTTGCCAGCTCTGTGTGACTGCTCAGTGGGCACGTATCAGCCCCTAGACACACAGGGAGCAAAACCACTGGTTTCCTCCTCTGTGAAGTGGGGAGAGCCAAGTCTCTGGGGCCTGACAGGAGATGAGGCTGGGCCAGGGTGGGCGGCCTGGCAGGGGGAGCCAGACCCAGGCCCTGTGGATCGAGGCAGGCTGGGGTGGGGTCACCTGCCGAGCAGTCGGGGCAACACTGCCCAGGGACCCGGACGGGGTGGGGACAGGAGTCCACGCAGTCTGTCCGCCTGCAGCTCACAGAGCCGTCTGCCTGGAGAAAGGAGGGGTTCACCAGACTCACCTCCCAGGCCAAAGGAGGGCAATACACATAGCTCGCCACCCCTCAAGGCGCCACCCTGCAGCCAGGGGTGCAGGTCCTGCAGAAGGCCACAGCTGGGAAGGTGATCTGAGCCTTCCACAGGAGTCTGCACAGCCCAGAAGGTGGCTCTGGGCGGGTTCCCAAAGAGCACCTGTCTTCCTGGCCACACTCTCCCCCAGTGTTCCCTGGGCCTTGGCCCACCCCAAACTACAAGGACAAAAAATCCTTTCTTCAGAGGAAAACATCCCACCACGATGTGTGCTTCAGAAGATTTCTCCCCCCACACACGTCCTTCCACTCTCCTGCTTTCTCTCTGTTTTCCTGTTAAAGAATCTGACTGTTCACGATCTTTTCTCCTACTCTCTTATAAAACAAGTACGAATATCTTGGACACCAGAGAGAAGCCCCCTGGGAAGGTGGCTGTCCTCTAACTCTCATAAAGCACGCTCAAGCTTGTAACAGCCAGAGGCAGGAAAATTGCAGGTTCAAGGCCAGCCTGAGCAATGGAACCAGACCTTATCTCAAAATAGAAATTTTAAAACCAGCTGGGGTGTAGCTCAGCAGTGCAGCACTGGCCTAGCATGCACAAGGACCTGGGTTTTAGCCCCAGCACCACACACACACAAGGTGCAGGCCAAGCCCCTCACACACAGGCGTGCGCGGAGTCTCGGGCTGGGCCCGGGGCCTGCGGGTCTGGCGGGGCCTCCCGAGGGGCTGCAGCGCTACTGCTCCAAGGCCTATCCTGCAAGGGCAAAGGGAGCTGGGTGGCTACAGTGAGGGCACCAACGCACAGCGAGGCTGCACCCGGCGAGCACCACCGTCCACCGGCTCTGGCGAGAACCTTCTCCTTAAGCCAGGCCCCACCCCGCCTGGCCCACCTCGGAAGCCCAGGACCCGGGCACATCCAGGGCTGAGGCTCACTCTACACAGACATGGGCGCAGGCCAAGGCCCACGCAGCACAGCGCGGCCAAGAGGAGGGGACCGCAGTGGGGCAGCGCGAAGCAGCTGAAGGCGAGCAGGCTGTCATTCACCTGGCAGATGCATAACTCACAGGGGTCGCCGGGTGACCAAATCTGTCCCACTGGAAACTCGGCCCCGTTGTCATCCAGGGAGCAGCCTGGCTGGGGCAGGAGGGGAAGGGGTGGGCGAGAAGGCGAGGGTGGGGCCTGGAGCTGCAGGTACATACAGCCCTCCATGAACACACGCACAAACACACGTGCGCCCACACAGGCACCCCCTGCTGAGTGCTCAGAGCTGCCCCTCCTGCCTGGCCTCACCTGAGCGGGGCGTGGGCTCAAGACAAGAAAAGCAGCACTGGCCAGGGCCCAGCCGCCACTCCTCCCGGGGACAGTCTGGCTCAGGACACGGCATGAAGGAGCATGTCACCTTCCCATTCTGAAAGGCAGTGGGTGCACGGACAGTAAGGGCCACTGGGAGAGCCCAGCCTGGCCCCCACCACGCAAGCCTGACCCTGCTCCTCATATACCCCACCCTGTCACCCACTGCATTTCCCACCCACCGGGGTATACCAGCACCAAGACACAGAGCCGGCTGTGTTGCCCCCCTCATCCCGGACCCGGGCTCACCTCCCCTCTCCTGCCTGGGCTCCACGCCCACAGTCAGGCCACACCCATGCCGCCAGGTGTCCAGAAGGCCCAGAGTGGGTGGCCCTCGGTCCCCACCTTGCCTACTGCAGCATCTGGACACTGCACTTGCTAGGCATCCCGGACCTGAGCCTTAACCTTTGTGGGCACAGCCGCACCTGTGCCGGGGCCAAGCCCCAGGGGATCCTGGGCGGCTCCCGTTGCCACAGGCAGCCAGCCAGCCCTGTCACCTCCAGAGTTGCACAGGGGGGTCGCAGCCACCTACCTGGCAGGCACAGGTAGTGCAGTCATCACCAGTGCCACTGAACACAGCCCCCTCCGAGTACCAGCGGCCGTGGAAGTGGCACTGTGCTGTGGGGAGAGGGGATGCATGGCCCAGACAGCACATGAGCCGTGCAGCCTGCGCGCATGCTCTCTGGGCCTCTGTTCTCCCAGCAGGGCAATAGTCTTGATAACATGTGCTAGCTCACAGAGACTGTACAGGCCATGGAAAGGAACCCAATTGAAATAGCGTAACAGGCTAGGCATGGTGAAAAGGCATTGGTCCTAGCACTCTGGGAGGCTGAGCAGGAAGATCTCAAGATTGAGCCCAGCCTCTACAATTTAGCAACTTTTCAGACCCTATTTTAAGGTTAAAAAAAAAAAAAAAAACCCAAAGGGGCCTGGGGATGTAGCTCAGTGCAAAGGCCCTGAATTCCATCCGTGCTACCACAAAATAACAATCATAGTAACAATATAACATGTAAAAGTTAAAACATTTTAAGAGAACACCGGCTTCCAAACTGCTCTGCTCCACTGCTAACAGGCTGCGTGCCTGAGCACTGAGGTGACCTCTCTTAGCCTCAGTTTCCTCGTCCAAACAAGAGAAAGAGACTGAGGTGACACAAGGGTGTCCACCAGGAGGACATGGGGTGGCAGGGACGGCTGCGATGGCACTGCGTCACCTCAGGCCGGAGTGCACAGGGGTACAGAGGCCTCTGCCACCGTTGGCTCGCGGCCACGGCGCACTGCCCGTGCAGCAGACGGGTGGTGGACCTGTGCCCTCCCCCAGCTGCCCCGTCCCACCCCCTGCACAGGGCGGACCCAGCCACTCACCAGGGGCACAGGCACAGCAGTCCTGCTGCAGAGCAGCCTCGCAGGGGCCGGGAGGACACTCGGGCGAGATGCAGGACACATTCCCAGCCTGCAGAGATGGGAGCTGGGCTGGGACCCACCCTGACGGGCTGCCTGTGCCACACCCTCCCTGCCTGGAGTGCCCAGGGGAAGCCACTAGAGACTAAAACAAGTGCCACCACACTATGGCCCTCTCTGGGGCTCCTGCCCAGAGGTTAGAAGACCCCCTGCAATGATCCCTACGTAGCCCATCCCTGTCACACCAAATGCCCCCCACCCGGAAAGGGAGACCTGGCCCGTCACATTGCATCTAAGCCATGACCCGAGGGGCTTTTACTGGCTGGTCAAAGAAATAAATTTAAAAACAAATTCTAAAACTGTGAAGGTAAACTGGGGGTGGGAGGAGCATGGGTCGCGGGCCTGTGATCCACGCACCCAGGAGGCTGAGGCAGGAGATCAACAAGAATTCGGAGCCATGGGTGCCGCCCTCAGAGCCAGGCCAGGAGCCACGTCTAAAGGTGGCAAAGGGGCCAGGGAGATGGCTCAGTAGAATAAGCACTTCCTGGCAAGCACAAGGGCCTGAGGTCAATCCCCGCCCCTGCTTCACCAAATAAATAAATAAACAAACAAACAAAATAAAATAAAGGTGGCAAGGGTGGGAGCACGGGGTGGTGGCCAGAGCTGGGCTCGAGACTCAGACCTCAGCCCAAGTCCTTGCAGGAACAGGCCCAGGGAAGAGGGCCTACAGCAGGTGGGACCTCGGGCGGGAGATAGACGGAAGGCACAGCGGGACAGCACAGTGCCCAGCCCTGCCTGGCTCTCAGTAGGAGCTCACTGCCTGCCCGCGGCGGACTGACCCTGCCTCAAGCAAAGCACCGAGCCAGGCAACTCGGGAGCCTGAGGCAGGAGGACAGCATTCAAGCCCAGCCTGGGTAAGTTAGCAAGAGCTTGTCTCAAAAAATATAAATGGTCTGGGGCTGTATTTCAGTGCAAAGACCCTAGGTTCAATCCCCAGTAAGGCAAAAAGTAAAAATAAAAAGCTTCTCAACAAGCTGAGGGTGGTACAGCAACGTTCGTTTGGGGGGGCAGACCTTCAGCCAGGAGAGAGCAGCCCGGGAGGCTGGAGCCCTTCCCTCCCAGCAGCCTGGGCGCCTGCGGCTCTGCCCACCCCCTGCTTCGTGCCCCGCCCCTGCTTCACGCCCCGCCCCCTGCTTCGTGCCCCGCCCCTGCTTCACGCCCCGCCCCCTGCTTCGTGTCCCCGCCCCCTGCTTCACGCCCCGCCCCTTCAATGCCCCAGGTTCTGATTCAAACCCACAGCCCAAGAGGGCCCCAGACAGCTACGAAGGCTGGGAAAACACCCGAGGGCCGGGCTGTGGCACTTACCAGACAGACACAGACCGTGCAGTTCTCACCGGGAGGCGAAAACACATCCCCATTCGCGCGGACCGCGCCGCTGTGGAAGCAGCCTGCACGGCAACGGGGGCAGGGACCCCTCAGAGCGCTGCAGGCTCCCCTCGCAGCGTGCAGCGTGCAGCTGGGGCCTCTCGCTCTGCCGGGGACACCCTAAGGACACCCGAGGACCCCAGGACTAACGGGAGACATCTGCAAGGGCCTGCAGCCATCGGCGCCTTCAGGGCCCAAGGGTCTAAACTGACAGCGTCACAGATAAGACAAAGGACGCCTGTGCCCACGACTGAGCTGCTGACTCAGTTTCCCTGAGAGGCCTTGGGCAGTCACTGAGCCGCCCCACCACTGACATTTTCATCATGAAATGGAAACGCCATGATGCACCCAGCAGGCCACAGAGGGACTCTCAACCTTGGTAATACACACCAGCACTTTCCACGCGGGCTCAGTAAAAATGCTCTTTGGTTTTGGTTTTTGCTTTTGTGTTTTGCGGTGCTGGGGATGGAACCAGGGCTGGCACATGCACCCCAGCGCCTGGCGAGACTAGTAACTGTGGCTGTCTCCCCAGGAGCTCCACAACCTTGCACTTCAGAGCCTGTCCTGTCAGGAGGGGCCCTCCTGCACTCCCCTGTGGCACACAGACCTCGGGGATGTGCACAGAGCAGGGTTGTACAGACTGGGGAAGGGCCAGGGAGGACTAAGTTCCCTTCCAACACTAGCAACTAGGTCCCAACAGAGAACTGGGGCAGACAGAGGTGCAACCCTGGGAGGGATGTGGCCAGAAGTGGGGTTTGGGAAGATGGATGAAATGAATGAACAAATGAATGAGGGTTGCAACAGCCTAGATAGTGGGGGTCACAACTCAAGCCCAGAGAAGCCTATCCTCAACCCCCACCTACAGGACCAGGAGGCCCAAGCAGCCCAGGGATCCAACGGCTCGTAGCCCCCCAGGAGACTTGAAAGTGCATGGTGGTGTGAACAGCCGTGGGGTAAGGATGGCTGGGAGAAGAGAAGAGACTGCCACGTGCACGCACACACTCACCTGGGCCACTTCTCACCTGTGCAGGACGGGCAGCACCCCCCATCCAGAGCGGGTGCTGGGTGGGAGCACACGGCCTCACACCTCACCTTCGCACAGGTCACCTCCCCGTCCTGGAAGCACAAGCAGGCACTGCAGCCACCTTCAGGTCACAGGCATGGCAGTGGGCAGCAGGATGCACACACCCACCTCGCACCAGCACTGCATGCACCCGGGCACAGCCCAGCGGCTCCCTGATGCGTGCACGGCTCCCAGGTGCCAGCAGGGAGAGAGTCCCGGGGCCAGACTCTGGTCCTCCAGGTCGTGGGGGGAAGAAGGGGTGGCAAGCGCCTCCCCCTGGAGGAGGGAGGGGGATCCAAGGGTTCCCAGCAGCGAGGCACCAGGTACTGGAGCAGCAGTAGGGGTGGACAACAGCCAAAAAGGTCCTAGAGGGTGGGTGGTCCCAAGCCCAGCAAAGGGACCTGGGGCCCCAGGACTGGGACTGTGACCTGGGGACAGGCCCGGCTGGCCAATGTGAGGAAGCAGCAACGCCATCGCAGGAGGCCTGGGCTGCAGGATAGCCGAGGGTGCCAGCACCTCTGGGGGCAGAGCTGCAAGAGAGGCATCAGGTGACTGGGGCAGGAGGCTGGGGCTCGGGCCACCACCACCCTGACTGTGGACTTAAGGGACTGCTGGGACTGAGAGAGCCAGCAGCCACAGCGAAGAGTGGTGGGACACGACTGCACAGGAACGAGGGCTTCAGCCTTCCCAGGCCATAGTCAGTACCTGCCCCTGACTCTAACCTTAACTCTAACCCTGACTCTAAGCCCTCAACCTATGACTAACCCTAACCCTAATTAACCTTAACCCTAACTGACCCAAGTCCTAATTAACCCTAGCCCTAGCCCTGCAGGGATTGCCTCACCCCGGCATTCTGGCCCTGTCCCATGCCCAACCTAGTGGTGGCGTCCCTGGGGGAGGGTGGAGGCAGGGCTATTTGCTCAAGGGGCGGGGCCATATCCAGGGCGGGCGACCGCCCGAGGGGCGGGGCGGGGCGGGGCGGGGCGGGGCTCGGCCGAGTGCTCACCCTCGCAGGAAACGCGGTCGGCTCGCAGCCTGAAGCCGGGTCTGCAGGTGCATAGGAAGCTGCCCACCGTGTTGTGGCAAGAATGGTGGCAGACTCGCCTCTCCTGCGGCCTGCGACACTCGTTCACGTCTGTGGGAGAGCCCGGCTGCCTTGCACTTCTGGGGAGCACGTGCTCCTCGCCCTGAGCCTGGGCAGCGCTTGCGGGCCCACCCTCTCCGGTGCAGGGGACCTGGAGGGCGGCGGGGACAGCGACCGTGCGAGGAAGGCTCCGCCCCTCCGCCCAGCGCCAGGCCTCGCCTTCCCTGGGAGGTTTTGAGATGAGGAGCACCTCGCTCTGCAGGGACCCTTAGGACAGGGGACCGCCTTTCCCCAAGCCCGGACCTGCCCTGGTGCCAGTCCTGCTGTGGACACGTGCCAGCCGGCTGAGGGCAGGTCTCCCTCCAGGCCAGAGGAGCCAGGGCCCAGCGGGCTTCCCGACCTGAGAGCCGCGCCGCCCCGCCCCGCACGCCCTGGAGCGCAGCGAGAGGCCCGCGGGCCGGCTCACCCACGCAGGAGTGCCGGTTGCCGTGCAGGTGGAAGCCACTGCGACAGGAGCACTTGTAGCTGCCCACGCTGTTCCTGCACCTCTGCTGGCAGGGCGTCCCCAGGCACTCGTTCGTGTCTGCCGGCACAGGACAAAGCTGGCTTCCCGGCCGCACCCCACCTGAGGCCCTGCTAGACGCCGGCGTCGTTTGTCTTCCCTAAAGACTCCCAGACGCGGTCAGGCCTGCGCCCTCCTAGCTGTGCTCACCAGGCCTCTGGGCACCGTCTGGGTCACGGCTTCTTCCCCTGCCGTCACCCTCGGGCTGCCTCTTCCCCAGGCCCCGCCCTCGGCCTGTATCTCCTCTGCCCCATGCCTTTCAAGCCCTGATCCCCTTCTTACGGCTCTGACCAGCCTCAGTTTCCCCATCTGCAACCTGGGTGGCTCAGCACTTCCTCAGAGGACCAGCGCGGGGCGCGGTCCCCAGGGCTGTCCTGCTTCCTCCCCTGCTCACCTTGGCAGCTGTGGCGGTCCGCAGCCAGCTGCATGCCCGGCCCACACTCACACACAAACCCGCCTTCTGTGTTCACACAGTGGCCCTCGCAGGAGGCGCTCAGGCACTCGTCAATGTCTAGGAAGAGAAAACGCTCACACAGCTGGCTCTGAGCATGGCTGGGACCCCACCCTGGGAAGAAAGGGTACACACCAGGAAAGCCTTGCTAACTTGCCCAAACTCGAACTTGCAATCCTCCTGCCTCAGCCTCTTGAATTCTGGGATTGCAGGTGTGCACCACTATGCCCTGTTTATGATC